ACTTGTCCACATTTTTTATTTCATATTTTTCTTACTCCAAAGGCTTTTTATCCATTTTCTGCATTTGTGACCTACATTGCATTTAGACGACAACATTTGGATTTAATACAAAAAGAACTGGGAAGGTATATGTGTTTCATTTTAACACAAGAAATACGGAAAAAAAAACATCATCAGTTTCTAAGTGAGCATTATTATCTCTTGCATTACCATAATCATTATCTTGATCACTACCACTCACATCATCGTCATCATCATCATTACTGTCTTTCGCTGCCGATATCATTGTCATCGCCATTATTTTATTTTATTACACGACTCGGGCATTCAGAGGGCCAATTACTAAAATCAACCAATCAAAATGCTCTATTGTTGGTCCAATATTCTCTAAGTATTGGACCGGGCACTGTCCCGAATGGTCCCGAATGATACTGCACTTGCGTCCCTTTGAACTTCAGTCGTATAATAGATCTCTTATTGTCCAAGCTTGCTCGGGACTGTACTGGAAGAATATCGGCCCTCGGTCTTTTTTGTACGGACCTCCCTGCGCTCGGTCCGTACTGTCAAGACCTTGGGCCGATATTCTCCCAGTACAGCCCTCGCGCTTGGTTAATAAGATATCACATGATCATGAGCAGAATCATTATCAATCTTAGTTTGCCATTTTTGTTTATTCCAGTATATATTTTACTTAGTTTTGCCTTTTTCTCCTCAGACTGTTTCGTTCAGAGACATTTAACCCAGCAGGAAGGCCCCAAGCAGTCGAAGGTAGTCACACAAACGTAACAAAACGTAACGTTAAACACTGGGACACATTACCGAGAGAAACATAACGTAACATCTCATGCCTTTTTATTGTCAGAGGTGTATGCAATGGATCGACTCAAAGACAACACAAAGCAGCCGCTAACACCTGCTGAATATCGCAGGCTCAAACCGTAAGTGTTTTACATCCTTTAATTTAAACCACAGTGTATCAATTGATTTTAAGAAAAGAACTTTGCTGGACTTCGGGTCGAGAGGCCTGGGCCCAAGTCCTGGCAAGATAACCAGTCCCAACCCTGCTCT